TGATGTTGCTTGGTCTGCTGTGTTCATCCAGCTCTACACCTTGTTATCTCAGATTTTCCAGCATCTGCAGTTCCTACTATCTCTGTCACCATTTAATATGACCATTTGTGATCTCATCTCGGTTTCAACTCCACTTTCCTACCTGCTTCCCATAACCTTTCAACCCATTACTAATTAAGAATCTGTCAATGTCCTTCTTAAATTCGTTCTGTGTCTTGGTGTCCACCACCACTCTGGGGTAGTGAATTCCACAAATTCATGACTTTTTGAGAGAAGTAATTCCTTGTCATTTCTGTTTTAAATCTGCCACCCCTTAGCCTAAAACTGTGATGTCTGTTTGATATTTTCCTCTTGTGAGGCACATCTACTTTATACCTACTTTATCAATCTCTTTAAACATCTTATATACCTCAATTAGGTCTCTTCTCATTCTTCCAAAATTACATCCTCTGTGATCATTGTGCTGTAATTCTCCCTCTGCCAGGTATGACGTCGTCGACAATATCGTGCTTCCTCTAATACCTTTTGTCTGTTGTTTAACACAATGGCTGTCCTCCACCTTGTTTATATTTGAGAATAGATGGAGCGACTCTCGCATTGGCGTCTCTTCTTGTCCCATATTATTACCTGTGGAGTTATTGTAGGTTCTACCCTTGGCCTCCTTCTCATTCTCTACATTCTGTCACCTGGTAACATTATCTTAAAAAAGAGTCAAGGTTCCATATCAGCAAATCATTGAATGGCATAAAAGAGAGCCTACCAGGCTTGTTATATCTCCATTGGCTTATAGAAAGAGCTAAAAATAGCAGTTTACCTCTTCTACAAAGCTGCGATTCTCAAATGGTGTAGTGTTTGACTGCTACTTTGTCCACAATCTTGAGTAGCCAGACTGATTTGATTGTTAAACATCCAATCATGAATGTCCTACTGAAACCTTACTCATGTCTTTTTCACCTGCAGGTTCATTAATTATGATTGTCTCCTGGATAAGTTCACATAATACTCTGCTTCTGTACTCTGTCATATCATGTTCCAGTCACCTTTCATACCTGCACCATATTAGTTCCTGGCCCAGAAATGCTTGCAAATTAGAATTGCCATCATTTTGTTCAAATCTTCATATGCCCTAACCCCTACTAATCTCCTCAATATTCTCCAACCATATAACCCTCCGAGAGCTGTGTTCTTCCACCTCTGACTTATACTTGCCCTCTGCTGTTGCCATACCTTTTGGCAGCTGCATTTTCTGTTGTCTAGGTCCTGAAATATTATTTTCTTCTGAATATTCCTGTGTCATCATCTTCCTCAATTCCCATAAGGCCATTCCTAAAATCTATCTGTTTGACTAAAGTTTTACATTTGAAATTCTGCTTTGGGTAATAATTCCAACAGTGAAGCATTTTTAATGTTTACATTTTCATTCACCCAATTTCATGTTTTATGTATTTCAGTTTAAATAAATTGTAAGCTGTTAGAAGTTGCTGAATATTTATGATGGATATAACTAATATTAATTCTTGGTGCAGAATATAGGTTAAAATTCTGCCATGGCATGACATTTAATATTGTCTGGTATTAGTTAGGCTTGTCCTTGTACATTTGTTTCTAAATTTTATTTGCATGGCAAGTTGTTGAAAATACAAACTAATAATGACAGAGAGGGACTTGGGTGAACAGAACAAGCAACTATGTATGTCCTTATCTAATCAGATTGAAGAATTGTGAAATTAACACTAATTTCTCAGAAGGATGTGTAAATTAGAGTGTCTATAGTAAATTTCAAAGTAAGTACTGGAAAATAAATACAGAGAAAAAAGATTTGGTTAAGAGGGAAAACAAAAATGATAAGAGCAAAGCATAAACAGATAAAATCTGCATTATGTTCAAACCTGAACAATTGAGACTCTGGACATGTAACATTTAATTTCAGTACCACAAAGATTGGTTGGCAGCATTAGCACTTACCACATGTTAAATATGTGCAACTTGGACAGAAACTTTTGCATAAATGAGTTTGTCGTTGACAGCAAAAATTAGGCTCTAATGTGAAAGAAAATGTAAGCACAAATCACGTTTTGTTATGATTGATTCTGAAACATTTTGTAAACAGTTGCTTCTTTTTTTGCTCTGATTTGCATTGCATATTTTCATTATGAAAATCTTTGCATATGGGCAGTACAGTTGCTGATATACTGCTTTTGTGCTTTCACGTGTGCCGTTTTTATTTCAACTTCAGATCAGAATGGAAACACAGACATCTTGTGTCAAATGATGCCCTTTTACAGCTATGATATTCCTCATACATGTGGCCCTGATCCTAAAATATGCTGTCAATTTGACTTCAAACGTCTACCTGGAGGCCGAATTAGTTGTCCTTGGAGGATACCTCCAGTTGAAATACATGATGGCAATGTTCAAGAAAGGTAACTTACTTAAAATCTTTAGCTATCAAATTTGCACACCACGTTGTGATCATTGGGAGGGAATTAACTGCATGAAAGTAATATGTGGTTTAGCTCTTCAGAGCTTCCAGGTCTAGGATTGCTTTTTATATTCGTTATTATATCCAGCAAATACTACAAGTGTGATCTTGCCAAGAGTCTGGATAAATCGAGGAATAATAGTTCCTTGAAGTGTTTTGATTATATAATGATATTGTGAATGTTAATAATGTGGGCCAACTCCTACAGTGTTACAAAAACGTCTCTCCTCCTTTTTGACCATGTCAGACAGAAAGGAGGGCTCTCAACTTATTTTCACATCTGTCATCTGTGTGCTTAAGTAACATTTAGACAATTTGAAACAACAAAGGAGATTTGCGCTGCATTTGTTCGTTTTAAAAATTGGAACGAATGTAACATGTTATTTAAAATGCTGATATTAAAGTATTGTGTAAAATGCAGTCGAACTTATAATTTATCTTTGAGTTCTGTGTTCTAATTTATCACCTTCACTGATAAATTGCCGAAGATTAATTTAATAGATCAAACAGGGAATCTTTAACTCAACTGCTTCATGCTGTAATCAGCTGAGTCATTGAAGAAAAGTTGTCTTTGCTTGATTGCAGAGGACTTTTTTAAATTTATGGAAAACTGAGACCTTTTGTTTACTTAAGTAGCTACAAAATAACAGGGCTGGTCTTGATTACTGATTATAGTAATTGATCTTCTAAAAGTGTCAATAAGATTTTTAGGCACGGTTGAGACATTGATGTTCAGTATGGGCGGCACGGTGGCCCAGTGGTTAGCACTGCAGCCTCACAGCACCAGGGACCTGGGTTCAATTCCACCCTTGGGCGACTGTCTGTGTGGAGTTTGCACATTCTCCCGTGTCTGCATGGGTTTCCTCCAGTTGCTCCAGTTTCCTCCCACCATCTAAAAATGTGCAAAGTAGGTGGAGTGGCCATGCTACATTGCCCATAGTGCTCAGGGATGTGTAGATTAGGGGGGTTATGGGGGGATGGGCACTGGGTGCAGTGCTCTGAGGATCGGTGTGGACTTGTTGGGCTGAAGGGTCTGTTTCCACATTGTGGGGATTCTGTGATACATTCTATGATAGTTTGATGCAAGTGACATTGTTCTGTCTGCGATTACATTAGAAACTACCAATGTGCAGTTTTTTTCCAGGCTAAGTTTGTTAACATTTCAAAGCATGCCAGTTTTCTTCGGTTGATTTAATCTGCCCAGTATCTCTTTGTTGTTAGGCAGGGTAAAAAAGAAAAGGTGGCTCAACTTTAGAAATAATTAAGAAACTACATGATTATGAGCTGTTCTGGAGAGTCTCATTATCGTGCCCTAGTGGTTGCAGATTTTTTTTTAAATTGTGTGCTTCTTAATGACTAATGCTCAGTGGGATGATGGAAGAAGGCGGAAAATGAAGGTGAACAAGAGAGTGGAAGAGAATATAATTTAAATTTTTCGTACTTAAACCAATTTGATGTTTCAAGTGTGCACATTTAGGATGACCACAAAATTTAACTAAGAGAGAATAACGCAACTTTGAAATTAGGAAAATAGCCAAAATATATTAATTTACATTTAAAATAAAACAGAAGCCAAAACCTGACTCACTTGTTTACAGTCCCAGTGTTGAGTAAGAAAGCTGCAGGTTCAGATTCCGTTCTGGGTTTTTGTGAACTCCAAAACAAAGTAAAAGTTAATTCATTGCAGATGATAAAACACGTAAGTAAATAGAAGTTACTTCTGTCTTTTCATTTAGGCTTTGCTATATTATAAAAATGTTTATTGACCATTGCTTATTCAGTACGTCAAATATTTTAAATCTTTTCCCTTTGTTTTTGAAGAGCCAAACTCATCTTAGACCAGTACAGAAAAAAGTCCAAACTTTATCGCACCAAAGTGGTCTTGATTCCCCTGGGAGATGATTTTCGTTATGACCAGTGGTCAGAATGGGATCAACAGTTTCAAAATTATCAGAGGCTTTTTGATTATATGAACTCCCATCCAGAGCTGCATGTGCAGGTATGTTAAAACCTAGAATATAGTACATATTAAGCACAAGTATAGATTTTAGTGTGAAGAAGTACAGATATTTTACCATTATGTTCTCTGTAATATATACAGATTGTAAAGTGTTTTTAAATTCTTAGTTTAAGATAGTTCACATAGATTGATGCTTTGTACACTAAAACATGCAAAAGTGGTGAACAGGAAATGAACGCCTAGATCATTGGACCTGGAGCTGCGATAATGCACAATATATGTTAATGACTTAATAAGAAAAGTGGGTATACTGTAGCAAAGTTTGCAGATGACTCAAAAATGGAGAAAGACTGCAGAAAGCTACAGAATAGAGGGTTTTGAATGTCCTCATCCATGAATTACAAAAAACTAGCATCCAAGTTTAACTGGTAATAGGCATGGCAAATATAATAATGGCCTTTATTTCAAAGGGAATGGAATATAAAAGAAAGGAGGTTTTGGTAAAACTATACAAGATACTAGTCAGACCACAGCTGACTGTGAACAGTTTTGGTGCCAATATTTAAGGAAAGGTATATGGATATTGGAGGCAGTAATGAGATGGTTGACTAGGCTGATAGCATGTATGGAGGGACTGTCATATAAGGAGAAATTAACTAGATTGAGTCTCTACTTGTTCACATAATAGAATGAATAGTGACCTTATTGAAACACACAAGATTCTTAGGGGACTTGTGCCTCCAGACCCTCCTACGTGGGTTTGTTACCCCATGTAGGAAGGTCTGGGGCCACAGGGCATAATCTAAGAATAAGGAGTGTCACATTTAAGATAAGGATGAGGAGGAATGTCTTCCACCATAGGGTAGTGTACTGGTGGAATCCTTTACCACAGAGGGCAGCAAGGTAGCTCAGTGGTTAGCGCTGCTGCCTCACAGCATCAAGGACTTGGGTTCGATTCCACCCTCAGGTGACTGTGTGCACATTCTCTCCGTGGGTGCTGTGATTTCCTCCTACGATCCAAAGATGTGCAGGTTAGGTAAATTGGCCATGGGAAATTGCCTACAATATCCAGGAATGTGCAGATTAAGTGGATTGGCCATAAGAAATGCAAGGTTACAGGGATGCAGTGGGACTAGATGGGATGCCCTTCAGAGGTTTGGTGTGGACTCAATGGGCTGAATGGCCTGCTTCCATACTGTAGGGATTCTAGGACTATCTATGACTTCTATGACTATCTATGGCCCTTGAGGCTGGGTCATTACATATATTCAGGGCTGGGATAATTAATCAGTAAGGGAACCAAGGCTTATGGGGAAAAGATAGGAAAGTGCAGCTGAGGATTATCGGAACAGCCATGATGTCATTGAATGGCAGAGCAGACTCAATAGCTGAATTGCGTAATTCTGCTCCTATATATTGTACTCTTGTGACCTTTGTAGTACTGGTTTTCAGTCTTTACAGAGTCTTCATTATACACCTAGATTTTCTTCCCATCAAAGACTTTATTTCAAAGCCTTGCATGTTCTACATATGCTTGATAACGCTCCTATGTGTGTAACACTACAAATGGCCAAAGTAATTACAATCTGCTAGGCATGTACCCATTTTCCCAGTACACCTAGACCTGCCAGTTGTTTACTTCCGCTTGTACAATGATAACTCCCAGTCAAAATGTCCACCAATGCATCCCATAAGTTTTTATAGTGTTCAACTAATACATTTAAATATACAGGCCCCTTATAAACATAAGTATGAATATAAAAATTAGGAGCAGAACTGTCTTTCGGCCCTTTATCTCGCTCCGCCATTTAATATGATCATGGCTGATATGTTTGTATTTTGCATTCCACATTCCCATCAACCTCTAATTCCCTTGCTCAAGAATTTATTTAACGCTTTCTTTAAAAATAGTCAAAGACGCCATCTTCAAAGCCTTCTGAGGCAGAGTTCCAAAGGGTGCCACTTTTTGAGGAAAAAAAAACTCTCCTAAACTCTGTCCTAAAAGGACCATCCCTGCTTTTAATGCAGTGCCCCCTTGATGTGGTCTGACGCACAGGAGAAAATATACTTTCTATGTCCACCTTGTCAAGACCATTCAGAATTGTATACATTTCAATAAAGTTATCCTTGACTGTTCTAAATTCCAGGATAGCACAGCACCAAACTTTTTGATTACATGCTGAACACACATGCAAATTTCTTGTGACTTGTGCACTAGACCACCTAAATCCCTCTGCATGTTAAACTACTGCAGTCATTCTCCATTTAAATAATGTGTTGCTTTTTCAGTTTTCCTGCCAAGATGAACAACTCCACATTTTACCACACTCACCCATTCACTAAATATCCATTTGCAACCTCCTTATACCTACTGCACAACATCGTTTCCTACCTAACTTCAGTAAATTTAGCAACAATGCATTAATTTCTCTATTGTTATCAATTGTAAGAAGTTGAGTGCCCAGGACTATGGGACTCTACTCATCGCATCTTGCCAACCAGACAAAGACTGGACACACTCTGCTTTCTGCTCAACAAGCCGATCTTCTATCTATGTTACCCCCATATCTTGTGGTTTTATTTTTCACAATGATCTTTTTATGGCACTGTATCAAATGCCTCTTGGAAATTTAAGCACAGTATGTCTACAGGTTCTCCTTTATCCACAATGCATGTTATTCCTTCAAAGAAATCCCATAAATTGGCTGAACATGAATTCCCTTTGAGAAAATCATACCAATTTTTCCAGATTACATTGCATTTTCAAAGTGCGCTGTTAGAATCTCTTTAGTGATTGATTCTAACACTGTCCCTAAACAGGTATCAAATTAATTGCATATAATTCCTATTTTCTGCTTTCCTCCCTTGAATAGTGAGATTGTGTTTGCTATTTTCCAATCTAACAGAATCTTGTCTGAATCAAAATGAAAATTAACACCAATGCATCCATTAGGTCATTAGTGTCCTCTTGTAAATCCCTAAGATGAAGTCCATGTGGTCCCAGAGATTTGTCAACCCACGGTTCCACCAGTTTGCTTAGTACCGCTTCCCTCGTGACTGTAAAGTTAAATTTCTCCCTTTTGCCTTCTGATTTACGGCTACTACTGGAATAATTTACAAAGACAGAAGCAAAATATTTGTTCATTGCTTTATTTTCTACTATTAACTACTAGCATTTTCACTCTCTCAAGAACCAACACTCACTTTATTTACTGCCTCCTGTTCTAAAAACTTATTCATTTGTTATCCGTTTTAACATTCCTAGCTAGCTTCCTCTCATAAGTTAACTACTTCATCCTGAAAGCCCTTTGTCATTCTCTGCCTTTCTTTATCTCTGACCAAGCATCTAACCTGCCACTTATCTTTGCACAGTCATATGCTTTTCCCTAAAGTTTGATGCATTCTTTAACTTCTTCTGTTAACTGTGGATATCATCTGTCCTTTTAGAAAGTTTTTCTTTATAATAGGGATATATTCATTTTGAGTATTCTAAAATCTCCATAAATGCCTGCCTATTGACGTGTCCTCTCGCCTAGTATGCCAGTTTGCATTGCATATCCATGTCAAAATGCTGTCTTTGATCCAATCTTTTCCATTTCAAGCAGGACATGATATTCAGTCTTGTTGTGGTTGCTGCCTCCTGTCAGTGCCATCACTCTGAGCTCTTTAATTAATCCTGTTGCAATCCTTTTAGTATTCTTATATGGCCCTGTACATGCAGAACTTAAAGGGACTGACCTGCATGATATGTGCAGGATTTTTGACAGAAAGCTGTGCAACTTCAGTTGAATATTGCTCTTGACTCATTTCTGTCATCAGATTAATCTCTGACATATGATCCTGGATAAGCCGTAATTCCTTACAGTTAACAAGGTGTAGAGCTGGATGAACACAGCAGGCCAGGCAGCATCAGAGGAGCAGAAAAGCTGACATTTCAGGTCTGGACCCTTCTTCAGAAATGGGGGAGGGGAAGGGGACTCTGAAATAAATAGAGAGAGGGGGAGGCAATGATAGAAAATGGATAGAGGAGCAGATAGGGGGAGAGAAGATGGACAGGTCAAGGAAGCGGGGATGAAGCCAGTAAAGGTGAGTGCAGGTAGGGAGTTGGGATGGGGGCTGGTCAGTGAGGACGGAGGGGCGGGTAGGTGGGAGGGAAGACGGACAGGTCAAGGAAGCAGGGACGAGATGGGCTGGTCTTGGGATGAGGTCGGGAGTGGGGAGATTTTGAAGCTTGTGAAGTCGACATTGATACCATTGGGCTGCAGGGTTCCCAAGCGGAATATGAGGTGTGTTCCTCCAGCCTGTGGCATCGTTGTAGCACTGGAGGAGGCCCGGGATGGACATGTCGTCCAAGGAGTGGGAGGGGGAGTTGAAGTGGTTCGCGACTGGGAGGTGCTGTAGTTTGTCACAAACCGAGTGTTGGTGCTGTACAAAGCGGTCTCCAAGCCTCCGCTTGGTTTCCCCGATGTAGAGGAGGCCACATCGGGAACAGCGGATACAATATACCACATTAGCAGATGTGCAGGTGAACATCTGTTTAATGTGGAAGGTTTTCTTGGGGCCTGGGATGGGGGTGAGGGGGGAGGTGTAGGGGTAGGTGTAGCAATTCCTGCGGTTGCAGGGAAAAGTGCCAGGGGTGGTGGGGCTAGTGGGGAGTATGGAGCGGACGAGGAAGTCACGGAGAGAGCAGTCCCTCCGGAAGGCAGATAAGGGTGGAGAGGGAAATATATCCTTGGTAGTCGGTCAGATTGCAGGTGGCGGAAGTGGCGGAGAATGATGTGCTGAACGCGGAGGTTGATGGGGTGATACATGAGGACAAGGGGAATTCTGTCTTTGTTGTTATTCTGGAGAGGGGGTGTGAGGGCAGAGGTGCGGGAAACACGAAGGCGTTTTCGACCACTGTGGAGGGGCAATTGCGGTCCTTGAAAAACGAAGACATCTGGGATGTCTGGGAGTGGAATGCCTCATCTTGGGAGCAGATGCGGTGGAGGCAAAGTAATTGGGAATAGGGGATGGCATCCTTGCAGGAGGGTGGGTGAGAGAAGGTGTATTCTAGGTAGCTGTGGGAGTCGATGGGTTTGAAATAGATATCAGTTTCCAGGTGGTTGCCAAAGATGGAGACAGAGAGGTCCAGGAAGGAGAAGGAGGTATCAGAGATGGTCCAGGTGAACTTAAGGTTGGGGTGGAAGGTGTTAGTAAAGTGGATGAACTGTTCGAGCTCATCGTGGGAGCACAAGGCGGCGCCGATACAGTCATCAATGTAACAGAGGAAGAGGTGGGGGATGGGGCCAGTGTAGCTGCGGAAGGGGAACTGTTCCACGTATCCTACAAAGTGGCAGGCATAGCTTGGGCCCATGTGGGTACCCATGGCCCCCCACCTTTTGTCTGTAGGAAGTGGGAGGAGTTGAAGGAGAAGTTGTTGAGGGTAAGGACGAGTTCAGTTAAGCGGATAAGGGTGTCGGTGGAGGGGGACTGGTTGGGCCTGCGAGAGAGGAAGAAGTGGAGGGCTTTTAGGCCATCTGCATGGGGAATGCAAGTATATAGAGACTGGACGTCCATGGTGAAGATGAGGTGTTGAGGACCAGGGAATCGGAAGTCTTGGAGGAGGTGGAGGGCGTGGGTGGTGTCACGGACGTAGGTAGGGAGTTCCTGGACCAGGGGGGAGAAAATGGAGTCGAGATAAGTTCAGTGGGGCAGGAGCAGGCAGAGACAATGGGTCGACCAGGGCAGTTGGGTTTATGGATTTTGGAAAGGAGATAGAACCAGGCGGTGCGGGGTTGGGGAATGATGAGGTTGGAGGCCGTGGGTGGGAAGTCACCTGAGGTGATGAGGTTATGGATGGTGTGGGAGATGATGTTTTGGTGGTCAGCGGTAGGGTCATGATTGAGGGGGCGGTAGGAGGAGGTGCCAGAGAGCTGGCGCCTGGCCTCGGGAATGTAGAGATCAGTGTGCCATACCACAACTGCACCTCCCTTGTCCACGGGTTTTATAGTGAGGTTAGGGTTGGAGCAGAGGGAGCTGTTTTCTTCTTTCTTCTTTCTTCTGTTTTGGTAGGTTCACCAATAGTCGGCTTGCTCAACAAAAAATAATTCAGTCATTTTTTTTATACCCGGGCCTCTTGATATACATATTTTGGCATGCAAAACAAATTTGTATTAAATTTAACTAACAGTTGATTAGAAAAAAAATGCAAATGCCATGATGGTTGGAACAAATGACATTGGTGTTCGCAAACTGAAAGGAGGAGCACTGCCAAAAGGAATCAACTTCATTTGTCCTGGAAGTGCAACAGTTAGCAATGTGAATATGTAAAATACAATATAAAGAGTACCTAATTAACATTGGCTAATATCATTTGGGCTTTGAACAAATGGGAAAACTACTGGTTAATGAACATATTTCCAAAATAATAAACTACACAATGGTACATATTCCATGTGTTCAGCATCAAAACCTGAGCAAAGGCAACATGTAAAAATTTAATGTTAACTTTTTGTGTCTGATAGATCTCGTTCCCTAAACGATCATAGTAAACCAGATGGGTTTTTACAACATTATTGATGTTAGTTTTATTTTTAATTTTAGCTTTATTTAACTGTCTGATAGTCTCATCCCAACTCCTGTGGTGAGGTTGATCTGCGTGTCTCCAGATCATTGCACCCAATTTATGGATTGCTAAAGTAAAAGTAAAGTACTAACGATCTGGAGATTTGGAATAAAAATGAAAAGTGCTGGAGAAACTCCGCAAATTTGGTAGTATCAATGCCAAGAGAAGCAGTTAGCATTTAAAGTCCTATATGTCTTTGGAGGTTGAAGAAGTGGAAATGTTGAGTTTTATACTATGTTGAAAGATTGGAGGAGGTGCAAGTGGAACAGATAGCAAATGTGTCTCTTGGATCCTTGGTGCCCCTTCTTAATGCATTAACATTACAAAGCTACTGCTCTTAAAGGACTTGATATAACTAAGGAATGACATGCATAAAGTCCTCCTAACATTCTGTCACAATAGGAATATTAGATTATGCTTTAGGGAGGCAGAAATATTCCAGTTTTCCTACTACGCAGAAAGTAGCTTTTATCTAATGAATACTGCTTATAGCACCAAGCAATGTGTTGCAAATAAATACATCACTACAGGCCAGAAACTGCAATTTTCTTTTAGTTATTTCCAGATAAGAGTCTGAATTATATACTTGTTAACTGTGAAGATCATGTCACCTAACAGTTGTTCTTCCAAAATTTAATTTGTACTGTGGTTGCTGGAGATATGAAATAAAAACAGAAGATATTGAATAAACTCAGCAGGTCTGCAGCATCTATGGAGAGCAAAACAGAGTTAATGTTTTGTGATCTGAAGAAGAGTCATTGGAGTCAAAACATCAGTTTATCTTTTCACAGATGCTACCAGACCTGAGTTTCTCTTGCAGTTTTGTTTTTATTTAATAACTCAATATTGGTTCTTACTTTTGCCTTGGTTTACGAAAAATGTGTAACCATTATAACATCCGCAAATGCCAAATGGATCACTTAGTTGAAATTTCTTGCAAGTTAGAGGAATTTTTCCAAAATGGATGTAACTAGTGGTTATACAGACATCACAGCATTTGTGATGTTACAGTTTATCTATACTTCCTTTGTTGGGTCTAAAGTCTATAAAATATATTTGATAAATTTATTTTTTTTATTTTAAAAAGTAAATTACCCTCCGGATAGCTAATACTCAATGGAAAAAAAATGTATAATGTTCTGTGGGACAATCTCGCAACTACTTCTTGTACGTTAAGATGTACTCATTTGAGAAGATAAAGCAGAACTTGTGGCCCAAGAAATGGACAATAGTCCATCCATGTAGTGAAACTTAGGAAGGAGAGCTTACTTTTAAGGTTGCAACTAATTACTGAATACTTGTTTAGCAGTTTGATATTCTGTTTCTAGGCTCAGTTTGGAACATTGTCGGATTATTTTGATGCTCTCCATAAAACAACTGAATCAGGAAATTCACCATCACCATTTCCTGTCTTGAGTGGGGACTTCTTTACATATGCAGACAGAGATGACCATTATTGGAGTGGATATTTTACCTCCCGACCCTTCTATAAGCGAATGGACAGAGTTTTAGAATCACACCTGAGGTAAATACTGAATTTGTGTGTTAGTTCTGATATCTCACATGTTTTAATTTTTTTTCTCTAGCCTGATTGCCAGTATCAATGAAACAGTGAAAAATATTTGAAAAGTGTATTTTTACAAGATTCATGGCTTTTATAAACAATATAAGTAGCAGCTTTTAAATAACTGCAGGTTTAATTTTCATAAATATGTAAAGCATGTAAAGTTCTTGACACTTTCTCCTCATTTAGAGAATTGCTGTTTAAGGTCAGAGACTAATCAGTAAATTAGTTGCAAAGTATTTAACTCAATCTTTCTAATTTCCACCTAATCTCACTTTAGAGGCAAAGAGATTTTCTGGAATTTGTTTTCAGATATTCACTGAAATATGATAAAGATTACTCCCTCTTAATTTTTACCCAATGGCCTTGCAATTTCTTCGGTCTGTCCATGTGGTCTTTGATTACTTCCACTTAATGGTGGGAACACCACTACCTGAAATATTTGTAATCTGCATTTCTTAACATCCTGAGGGCACATTTTCTAAGTTGACAGAGAAAGTGCAATGGAAATAAATGCCAACTCTGAGGTGCTTCAATACAATTTCAGTACTATTAATACTTAGAAAGTACAATCCTTGTCTGGTGTACAGCCTCTTTACTGCATGATTCAGCAGACTTCTATTTAAATATTATTCTGTATTTCTGTTCTTTTTGCCAGAATGTACAACCTCACATTTTCCCACCTTATACTCCATCTGCTAATTTTCTTGCCTATTCATTAAACCTATCTATATCCCTTTGCACACTCTTTGAATCCTTTTGAAAACTTGCTTTCCTACCAGCTTTGTATTGTCAGAAAATTTGGCTACGACGCAATCTGTCCCATTCCTTAGGTCATTGAGTTAGATCATATCCCACAACTCTGATTTCTGTGGCATTTCTGTAGTTCCATTTTGGCAGTCTGAAAATGATCCATTAATCCTTACTTGCTGTTTCATGTTATATTAGCGTGAATGAAAGATTGGCTAACTGTCACCTTCAACACAGGAAGCCCTTAACTGGTGCAGTAATATTTTATGTGACACCTTAGAAGAAGGCCTTTGGAGATCTAAATACAGTACATCTACCAACTCCCTCTTATGTGCCATGCTTGTTATTATCTTCAAAGAATCCTAATACATTTTTCAAAAATGACTTTGCTTAAACAAAACCATGTTGTTCATTTTTAAAAATAATATTAACTTAGAAAAAAATTACTTTGTTTCCGGATGTGCTTTCACTGACTAGGCGACCATTTATTGCCTATCCCTAATTGCTTTGAGGACAGTTAGAGTCAGCCACAATGCTGTGGGTCTAGAGTCAAAGAAACTCACATCAGGTAAGGTGGCAGATGTCTATTCCTAAAGGACATTAGTGAACCAGATTGACTTTTTAATGGGTGTCATTAGGCCGACTTTTTATTCTAGATCTCTATGAAATTCAAATTTCACCATTTGCCAATGTGGAATTTCAACCCATACTGGGGTTCTGGATTATTGGTCCAGTGGCATCACACTTAACAACTTAATAATAGATTCTAGCATTTCCCAATGACCAGTGTTACCTTTCTGGCCTATAGGTGCTTATTTTCTCTCTCATTCCTTTCAAATACTCTTGTTGATTTAGTTCTTAGCTGCTCAAACTCCTTAGTAGTTTATATTTCTTAGTCTTTCCTCTGTGCTTAGTATTCACATGGACAGTGATAATTGGAGCCTTCTGATCCCACTGCTAAGTTCCTCTCCATGCCCAAGGAGTCTTTTAACCCTGGCACCAGGTAGGCAGCACACTTTTTGGGACTCATCATCTTGACTACAGAAGATAGTGTTTATGCTTCTCTTGTGACCAAGATTGAAATGGTCCTTCTGCTCAATTACAAATTTTGAATTTAACTAGAGTAGTGATTATGCAAATTATATAGTTTTTAGACTGTGTGCCTAGTTTAATATTAGAAAGAGTCAGACTGATGAGGGAGCATCTTTTTCTGTGCTGCCTGGCTGATTTTGAAAAACGTCCAAGAGTAACATCACAGAAAAATATTGTGTTAATTGGTTGTTAAACAGCTGCTGTTGGGGATAACGGTACGTTTCCAAAAAATATGAAAAAGGCCTGTTATAAAGCAGATGTTGACCTTCCCTCTGAGAACTAAAACTGAAACACCCAAAGAGGAGCACCTCCCCATCATAATCTATAAAAGGAGTGTGAAAAGTGATATAACCTGCCTTTCAGCAACTTCTAGTGGTTAAATAGAATAAATCCCTGACACTGACTTTACAATCAACAAGTAACAATTTAGTTATCTAACTCTAACAGTGTACAAATTAACTAAATTATTAACAAACCGAATAAATCCCTTCTAACCACTAACTATTCCCAAATAAAACAAGATTCTAATAGTTTGCGGTTCCAATAAAAACAAATACCACTTGTATAAAATAAAACTTTAAAAAGTAGAATTTAGTCTCCTGAAATTACAGCCATTTACGTGTTTTCTGGAATGCTCTGTGCCTTCTCTGTCGATTCTTCTGTCAGGAATATTCACTAGTTGTGCTGTGAGAACCTTTGTTCTCTGGATGATGCTTTCTCTAAAGCTTAGAGCTATTATCTCTAACAGATGGCAGTTATTTCTCCTGTCTTTGCCCAACTATCCTCTTCTTTTATACCCCTGATGACATATCAATTTCTTACAATCAGATTGGTCCTAGGTTGTCAAAACCATCCGATTCAAATTTAATACTTTTTTTGGTGTCTAAGTGCCTGATTCAAATTGATTGGCTAAGTTCAAAAACTTGTTGACTTGGTAAAAATGCTGCTTGGCCTGCTAATGATATGGCCTCTGGATAAAAATGTTTCAATTCAGGTGCTGTCTGTACTTGCAAACCTTCAAGCTGGTCACAGATATCTCCAAGCATGGAAAAAGCATAGCCTTTTAAAGGGACCATACAATGTTTCGCCCCCCCCCGCAGCATTTTACAAACACCAAATTCTAACATCATGCCTCCCAATCCACAAATACTCTACCCAACTTCGCAACACACCACGTTACTGTACATAGGGCAAGTAAGAATTCATCGGCACAAGAAAAGGGAGTTGACTTGTGAGTAAGAGCGTAGAATCTCTACTTTCTGCAACCCCAGTTTATGTTTAATAGTACAAGTGAGGTTCAAGTAAATTCAAGTAAGCAAAAGTAACGAAAGCTAAAATAATTTAAACATTTAAGCTTACTGCACAACAGGACAACTCGGGCAAGAGAAATGACTGCCCTGTGGCATATGGGAACTCATGGATATTTCCGTTGACCCAGATGAGCACATGGTCAGGAAGTAGCACTGGTTGCGTATGATTGATCTCCAGGTTTCAGACCTAGAACAACACTTGTCACTGAGATGGATCCTTCAGGTACAGAACTGCCTGGTTAGCATATTCAGGAAGATAATGACCCAAGATATGGGCAAGTAGGCTGATGGGGATAGGGTGATCACCTGGCAGTCCAAGAAAAACAGGCAGGTAATGCAGGAATCCCAAAAGATCTCATTCACTAACTGGTTTTCCTTTTTGGATATTGGTGAGGACTTTAGAGACGTGCAACAAGAACCAACCTGTAGCACCATGGGTGCACTAACTGTACAGGAGGGGAGGAAGAAGAGTGGAAGAACAGTGGGTTCTTTAATAAGGAGAAGGCAGATGTTTTGTAGTCATCAAACTGATTGCAGGATGTCATGTTGCTTATGGTCAAGTGTGTCACAGAACAGCTGCAAGATATTCTCCTGGGTGGGGGCAAATGGCCAGAGGAAATGGTCTACAGTGGTACTAATTGAATTGATTTGAATTAGCTTTACTGTCACATGTACTCAAATAAAAACAGTGAAAAGTTTAGAAATTGCCAGTTACAGCACCAGCTTAGGTACAAAGGTACCTAGGTACAGCTGCTTCAGTTACAGATTGTTACACTGTAACTAATGTCACCAACACACAGTGCCATCTTAGGTACAGAATCGAGAAATGAAGAAAAAGAATGTTATATTACAGCTATACACAGTATAACCTTAGGTCAGAAAAACAAGAAGCGAGTTAAAAAGACAAACATCACAGCCTGCCTGTAAGGGCTCCTCGCAACAGACCTATGCAGGGGGCCTCCATGTGATCTGACCACTGGCTACTATCATGCTCCACACTAGGCCACTGCTGCAACGTTCTGCACTGGATCGCTGGTTGTTGGCATCCATGCTTTGGGTCGCCAACCACCAATCCCACTTTGGTTATGGGGCAACGGAGGGTGGGGTAAGGTGTCCAAGGCCAAGAGAAGGGAGGAAAAGAGGGAGACAAGAAAAGAATGGGCGGAATGGACAAACTGGATAGCTGGAGCGTCCTACTCCACTACCATCTTGCTGAAAGAGCATAGGCTGGCGGGAATGTGGTTCTGCAGTTGGAATTTAGAAAGCCAGGTAGAACATTAGCAAGCAGGACCAGGAAAGTAATAATCTCCAGAGTACGTTCCAGTGAGTACAGAAGTAGGAAAATCAGACAGGTGAATGTGTAGCTGGAAAGATGGTACGGGAGAAAGCGGTATGGTTTCATCAGACACTGTGACTGGCTCTGGGGAAGGTGGCACGCAAACGAACTGGACAGGTTGCATCTGAGCAGAGCATGGACTAAGTTTCTTTTGAGATGTTTGCTTGTACTGTTGAGGAGGATTTTAACTAACTCAGCAGGATTATGGAAAGCGGGAGTGAAGATTGGAAAGTAACACCAAGATGCACAAAATGCTGGGGGTGGCAGATAGCACTAAAACAGAGAATTGTAAGTTAATAGGTGATGTTGAACTAAGGAAAAAGTGCCAGAGTCTAAATCAAGCTTGCACTACATGTATGAGAATGCATATTGTGTAATTTGATTTGATTTGTTTAATTAATAAGACTGGGGAGTTACAAGCGTAGATTGCCTTGTGGAAACATGATACTTTGATAATCGACTTGTGGTTTAAG